AATCAGTGAGGATTTTGGTACAACAGAAAATGTTAAGTTTGTGACCTTCACTAGATTGCTCCGGTCACTAGTGTGAATAAGTATGTAAATGGATAGGGACAGGGAAGCAAACACAAGATGTACGTGGTTTATCCAGATTGGCTATGTCCACGGAGTAGAGGAGTTCTCATTAATTGTGAAAGGTTTACACAAGTACATAGGTTCAAGCTCTCCTTTAGTAAGTACTAGTGAATGATTTAGTACAAATGACATTAGGAAATATTGTGAGAGAATGATCTTTATTTATAGAAGAGAGTTTCTAGTTTCATTCTGACTTTGACACATGTCGTGTTGTGATTGGCTTCTGATGTTGACACGTGTCGCGCTATGATTGGCTTCTGATGTCGACACTTGTCGTGCTGTGATTGGCCTCCTGGTTGGAGGGAAACTCTTCTGGGTCTTTGACGGAATAACGTTGACCGGTGCTTAGTAGTTTCGGGATTGGTCAAGTATGGTACAAACAATCACCTATCGCGGATATACCAAGCATGATCACCCCTAATAGTCCCTCATCGCGAATATACCAAGCATGACTGTATCATATAACTCTAGGTAGTGATCACCCATTGCAGATATACCAAGCAAGATCACTCCTAGCATACGTATGGTCCCCCATCGCGGATATACCAAGCAGGATCATCCATGTACCACTACTACATGGTACGGTCTCATCATCACACATTATACCCAATTATACGTATACACGCTATCGATTCCACATATCAACTAACATCTAGTCATATGGAGCACATCACAAGGAATTCCCCTAATTACTATTTCTACTAAAAATCTAATAAAGTACCTAACTCATCTTCTGACTTTCATCCCTATCATATACTAGGTAGTAATGCCAAGTTCAAATAGGTATTCAGTTGGCAATCATATCCAAATAATTATCAAACAATAATTAGATCCCATAATTGTCATAACATTCATCATAATTATCATTCACATTATTAAAAAGATAATTAAACATGTTTGTACCATACTTAGGGCCTCCGTATCTAGACCTCGTATGAATACTCGGGGGACTCAAATGTAATTATGTAATAAATGAAGGGGGCAAATATGTAATAAGTGAGGAGCCCTTATTCTATAAAAGGACTCCTCACTCTCCTCACTCTCCTCATTAAGGAGGCCAATTCTTAGGCCATGGGAAAGAGCTCTCTCACCCTCAGAAGCTCTCACCCTCTCATTCTCTCACAAACACAGAAATACAATATTAGTGTGGACGTAGCCCAAACATTGGGGTGAACCACGATACATCTTGTGTTCTTTACTTTCTTGCAGATTCACGGTCAGATTTACGTTGTTCCAAGACCCCTTTGATTTTGTGCATCAACAAAACACATATGTATCACAAACATCATCAGTACACAAGCCTAGTACAGCAAGCCCAAAATAATGGGCTGGAATGTTATGTGGAGGGCGAAGACCCATATGCCCAAAAGAGCCAGACCCTCTATTATCACCAACCAGGTGATCAAAAGTACGTCCAGTACTACAAAAAATTAATCGGCAGCCTGCCGCTATTACCACCAACCAGGTGATCAAAAGTACGCCTAGTACTCCAAAATTATTCGGCAGCCTGCCGCTATTATCACCAACCAGGTGATCAAAAGTACGACCAGTACTCCAAAATTATTTGGCAGCATGCCGCTATTATCACCAACCAGGTGATCAAAAGTACGTCCAGTACTCCAAAATTATACATAAGCATCATTCATGTCAATCATACATAAACATTCGTGAACATCACTCATGTCAATCATACATAAACATTCATGACCATCATTCATGTCAACAGTCATGAGCATCACTCATGTTAACATCTATGAGCATCACTCATGTCAATCAACATAAACATTCATGAGCATCACTCATGTCAATCAGCTTCGAAAGCTTCATTTACAGAGCTTCAGCTTCAAAAAACTTCATTTACAAAGCTCCAGCTTCAAAAGCTTCACTTGCAAAGCTTCACCTACAAAGCTTCAGTGCAGGGTATACAAATATCGCCTCCGAACAATTGCCACTTCGGCCCATACATGGATTGAATTTGAAGTCTCCAGCCAACAACCTTTATTGAGTGAAGACTTGAAGGACTACACTATGTACCATATATTGGGCTTCCACAACTGGACCTCATGAAAAATACTTGGGGGACTCTAGCCCATTATTTATGTACTGAGGAGCGAACCTTTATTCTATAAAAGGGACTCCCTCACTTTCATTAGAGAGCATCCATTATTCATGTACTGAGGAGCGAACCCTTATTTTATAAAAGGGATTCCCTCACTTTCATTAGAGAGCACCCATTATTCATGTACTGAGGAGCGAGCCCTTATTTTATAAAAGGGACTCCCTCACTTTCATTAGAGAGCATCGCCGTTTGCTGAGCAACTGCCTCGCCGCGAGCATCGACTCTTAGCCCATCACTTATGTATTGAGGAGCGAGCCCTTATTCTATAAAAGGGACTCCCTCACCATCATTAGAGAGCATCGCCGCCTGCTGAGCAACTGCCTCGCCGCGATCATTAACTCTAACCCATCATTTATGTATTGAGGAGCGAGCCCTTATTCTATAAAAGGGACTCCCTCACCATCATTAGAGAGCATCAACTCTAGCCCATCATTCATGTATTGATGAGTGAGCCCTTATTCTATAAAATGGACTCCCTCACCTTTAACGCCATAAGCCGAGCCAACCAAGGCAACATAAGCCACAAACCGAGCAGCCTCGCAACATGTGCTACTTCTAGTTAAACATCATTTCAGATTGAGCACCGCCTCATATCGAGTATCAGTTCTAGACGACATCTAGTTACTTCGGCCCACACATGGACTAAATTTCAAGTCTCCAGCCAAAAGACTATCTTGGCTGAAGACTTGGGGGGACTACTGTTTGTACCATACTTAGGGCCTCCGTATCTAGACCTTGTATGAATACTCGGGGGACTCAAATGTAATTATGTAATAAATGAAGGGGGCAAATATGTAATAAGTGAGGAGCCCTTATTTTATAAAAGGACTCCTCGCTCTCCTCATTAAGGAGGCCAATTCTTAGGCCATGGGAAATAACTCTCTCACCCTCAGAAGCTCTCACCCTCTCATCCTCTCACAAACAGAGAAATACAATATCAGTGTGGACGTAGCCCAAACATTGGGGTGAACCACGATACATCTTGTGTTCTTTACTTTCTTGCAGATTCACGGTCGGATTTACGTTGTTCCAAGACCCCTCCGGTTTTGTGCATCAACAAAACACTTATGTATCACAAACACATCAATACACAAGCCAAATCATATGTAATAAGCATAGGTCTATGGCTAAATATATAAAAATCACATTTCAATAGAAATCATATTTATAAAACCAAATCATATTCACAAATGATACCAATATAAGAAATTAAGATAATAATCATATCTCATATATTCATGTCACTATGTAACCAATATAGGCCCACTAGACTTCAATTAGTCTCGTAGTACTAATTTTATTATTTAGAACGTTTCGAGACATGTTGACCACAAGTCAACTCTCGGTCAACGATAGGGTCCACAACTATACGTAATTTGATCCTAAAGATCCACACATCGGATTTCTGATCCATGACTTCCCAAAGTCACATTATGCTTTTAGAATAACATATTAAATTTCATTATGATCCAACGGTTGGATTGTCGTCAATTACACAAACAAGTGGCTGTCCAATTTGATCACCACACCAAACAACTGAATTTTGGGAAACCGAGCTAGACATAGATTCACAGGGTCACTAGAATGTATTTGGTACTTAGACAACACTCGTGGACGGTCCCACGCACCGCCACACACGGTGGTAGCCAAGGTGGAGGGTTTCGAAACCCCGAATTTTCAACATTAACTAAATGAGCTCAAATTTACATGGTAGCTAGAGCTCAACAAGGGAAATACTTTTCACAACTAGACCGACGATAAATTCTAACCGGAAACCATCCAAATTCACCGGAGAAAACTGGATTTCTAGGGTTCTAAACACCCATCTCTAAAATGAATACAAAAGCACGAACCAAGCATATCAACTTGAATATTATGAAGAGTAGATGAAGTTTCATACCTCACTCGAAGGAAATAGTTGCCGGAATCACCGAAAAAATGACAAAATCGCCGGAAACCCACAGAACTTTGCTGTCTCAAACTGGAAAAATGGATAAGAAAAATGGAAAATCTAACACTATAAATATGTAGGGCTCGTCAAGAGCTTTCCATGGACACCAAGATCACCCAAAATGGAGCTCGGATGAAGGAGATACAAGCGGGTCAAGTTTGTAGGTTAACGGGTCTAATTTGCCCCAAAACAGGTTAGCAGCAGCAGCCCCTTTTTTTTTTTTGGAAGAAACCTTCCCCCTTTTTAATTTGATTGGTCCTCCCTTCAACCTTACTTCTGATTGGCCACAAAAGCACATACCTTCTTGGGCTTTTTCCCTCAAAGTGAGAGTTTAAATAATTTCTAAAATCTATAGTTTAGTAACACAATTCCAAACGTCTGTAACTATACCGTTATAATCCGGACTCGCAAACGGCTTTCGCCTATGCATTCGTGGTTTCGAGATATATTTGAAAATATAAATTGTGACCTCCAAAGGTCTACGGATTTTAAATAATTAATTTCCAAACTTCAAACTTCGTAACTAGTTTAATTGAAATTTAAATTCAAATAAATTAATATAAATTCTCGAAAAATAATATAAAATCTCAATAATACAAATACGTAGATTATAACAGTGAAATCTAGGAATGGGATTTCACAATTGTGATCGACATCTTATTTACACCATATCGACATTCTGTTATTTAATAAAGAATAAATGTCTTGCTTACAGAATAACTGCCTCATCAAGATATTACCAAACCATGACAGTAAAAATAACATAATAAAACTACAAGACATTTTTCTTTAGGGTTGCAACAAATCAATAAAGCACAATTGCAGTAAAAACTTGATTTCCAAACTAATTTACAATAAGAATGAAGGAGCCACAAGCAAAATGGGTTTTCAAAAATGCTGTTGGTGCATTATTCAGAGATGTGACTGATAATTCAAAGACTGCCTGCTGTCTGCAGTCTAACACTGAAATGGTAACCGGTCTTAATATGCACTGCACAATCTATAAAAGCATATTACACGAAACAAAGAAGGTTATGGACCGCGAGGTGTGCTGAAACAGAAACAGCCGGTAGACTGGTCTTCGGGTATCATGCCGCCTCCCTTGCTAGTATCTATTGCATACAACATTTTCACTACCTCTTCCATTTCAGGAAGATTATCCGGGTTTGCATCCCAACATTTTCGCATGACGCTAGCCAATGTGCTTGGACAACATCTTGGAATTTCTGGTCGTAAATTCTGCCATCCAAGCATAAAATATTAGGACTACCAATTGGTGATCAACATTGCTTAAAAGCCAAAGACAGACAAGTTTTGCTACATCAGTTCCACTACTTCAAAACAAATATGCAGTAAAATCTGATAAAGAAATTAAAGCAGTATGTGCAACAACAAACCAACCTGTCGCACTACTGCAGATGAGACATCAGCAAAACTTAGATTAGGATAAGGCATGTCGCAGCAATAGATTTCCCACAAGCAAAAACCAAAACTATAGACATCGCATTTCCTGTCGTATGGCTTGCCATCAAGGAACTACAAAAACCTTGATGTTAGAATTCTAATCCAATTTGCAGCAAGGGGAATCTATTATGTTTTTTATTTAATTATTTATTGGTTTAAATTATATTTTCCTTAACGGGTAACGGGTCGGGTCATATTACCCGTTAATATTATCGGGTCGATTTTGGATCGGGTCATTTTACCCGTTTATTTTAACGGGTGTTACACGACACGACCCGTTAAGATATCGGGTATGACACGAAAACGACACGAACACGGAAAACACGACACAAATGCCAAGTCTAGTTGGGAGTTCATTATTCAATCAAATAACACCGCCTTCTTACATTCAATCAAAAAAATTTATGTAGTTGTAAATTTGTATCTATACTTAGGCAAACAATCACATGTATTCTTTTGTGCAATGAAGTAAACCCCTAAGTCTAATAACAATGAAAGTTTGAAATCGGAGTTCAGCATGCTAAAACCATTCCCAATATATGGATTCATTAACCATCTAATACACAGTCACTATAGCAAATTCTGCAATACAACAATCCCAAACGAGCCCTTGATACTATACTAAACAATTATAGATGATGGCTTACCGTCTAGGCGTCCACCAACTCAACAAACTGTAAAATTTCTCAATTCCGTTCCATTTCTGGTGAAACCCATTGACCACTAAACTATGTTTTAAAGTCTCAAACATGGAAAACTTAGGCATGCAAACAAATCCTGCACATCACGAAAACTGCAACAACGAAAAAGAATTAAAAACGAATTGAAGCCTTCAGAGAAATCAAAGTACCTGCAACATCTTGGCTATCGTATGCACCGCGATACACGGTGCCATAGGTTCCATGAGCAATAACATGTCTTATATCCAACTTTGCCAAATCAATCTCCCACTCTTCCACCTTTGCATTCGCCTCCCTCTCCCTCTCCCAACCCCTACTCAAGTGCTTCTCCAACTGGATATCCCGCCAAATCTCAAATTGTCACTCCTTCACAAAATAAAAATATTTCTTAAACCCCCGAAAACTTGATTGAAACTTTGACAACGGAACTGAAAAAATATTAACGGCCCCCGAGAATCTTGGAGCTGAAGAATCACACCAAATCGAGAAAAAAAATGGGATAGGAAAAAAGGAAGAAAAAAATATAGAAAAATAGAGTTTTGGGTATTAAACTCGAGTGAGAGAGCCATTAGAAAGAGTGAATAGAATCGTGAAAAGAAAAGGTCAAACAAAGAAAATAATACATAGGAAAATTTACGCGTGGGTTAGAGCAGTAAATTTATGGGTCAGCAGCAAGTTAATCATTAAATTCGTTCTCCCCTAAATTCAACCAAAATGAAAACAAAAACAATATTTGGAACAGGGGTCAAGAACTCAAAATCCCTAATTCTTGAATACCTTAAAACTGAGGATTCGGAACACAGATAGTGGTCAGGAGTGCTCGAGTTGAGAAAATATGATGGTGGTGGTTGGACGGACGAACGGAGCTCTGCGCTGCGAATTTGGGTCTGAGAGTCCAGAGTCCAAGTCGAGTCGAGAGACAGATAATCGAGGTGAGAGAGACAGACCGAGAGTGGGAGTTGTGAGAGAAGTGGGAAGTCAACGGTGCAGGTCCAAGTCTCGTTTGCCCACCCGATACGGTATTACAATTGTTTTGGCCAGACAAACCTCCACTTAATATGGAGTTGGTGGGAGATGATGGGAAACTTTTGCTCATTTGGCTCATTTAACCAGAATTTAATCAGATTTGGTCTTCGAATTTTTCTGAATTGCTAAAGGATTTATTTTCTTCGGAAATTTCAGAAACTCAGGTTTTGGAAGGAAGAAGCTGGTTCCTTACCATTTTTAGGTATATAATTATGTGCCCTGATTGCATGTTCACAACCTATTTAGTTATATGAAATTTTTATTTATTTTTCTAAAGCTTTCATGTTTGGATTTTAAATATGCAATTGGTATAAATGCAAAATATAATCATGGGGCATTCTTATTTTTGGATTTTCTCTTCTGCATTTTCTCTTGCATTTTCTCTTCTATCCTTTGTATGTTTGCAGTTAGATCAATGGGTTCAAACCTTTGAACTAAAATTTGTTTGACAGCCTTGCAAGTGTTTCGCTTTTGGGTGCTCTTTAATGTGTGCACTTTCTTTTGTTTATCTAGATTAGTGTTTTTCCAGCACTTTTAATCGTTGCAGTTCACAAAGTTCTTATTGATCTTGAATTGTTATTTTTAATTTATCTTTGTTGGGTAGACGACATGTACTGTGGGTTTCGGTGATTAGGGAATATTTTGAGCTTCATTACTATTTTAATGTTTAGGTAAAACTAGAAACTTCAACCCGTGCTCTGCTGCGGGATTGAAAATTGTATGAAAGATTATGTTTGAAAGATAAGAGAACAATTCATCAATTGTGCAATAGAAAACATAGCATTAGAACACATCCAACAGAGGAAAAAAAATTACAACAAACCTTCATTAACTGTCGATGGAATACTAACAACAAAAAATTTCTTTGTTTTGAAATCATTGCCAAAGATTTTCAAACTCACGATCATTAAGCACGGGATCATCTGGAAAAGGAAGGAGCAGTCATCATTCCTTCTGAGTCTCATAAGTTGTGCCCACTGCAATAGGTGTCCCTAAAGCAGCACATAATTATGTAAGCAAAAAAAAAAAAATTCATAAAAGACCATTGAAATCAATTTTCGAAATACAAACAATTAAGAAGATTAAACCTGAATCAAATGACACTATTCGATAAAAATAAACTCAATATTTACTAAATGAATGTATAACTTGTATTGTATAATATGCCTACTTCATATAATTGCTAATAAAAGGAACAAGTCCTTATCCATATGGATATTATAAAGAAAATCAATTCCATAGTATGTCCATTGCTAATAAAATAAATGTCCAAAGTCATTATGTGGGTACTAACGATACTAATACGACAAATGTCTAGTTGTTAATATTGTTTGATATAAGCCTACTAAGTAAAAACATTTAAATAACACAAAGAGGCAAACTTTTCACATTCTCACCAAGGTTCTAAAAAATGCTAGGCGCTAGTCGGGCGGCGGGCTAGCGCCTAGCACCTAGGCGGATTTAGTTAATTTCTTGTAAATAAGTGTATATTGACACTTACAAAAAATTATACTTGTATGAAATCTAAGAATAAGATAATACAAGAACAATAAAATGAAAAAAGAGTATCCAACAAGTCCAAAATTTTAAAAACATATTAAGCATATATGCCATATAACCATAGTGAGGAGTATTGTAGGATGACACATGTACAACAAGTTCACAATTTAAAACCACATAAAATGCAAAATAGGAGGAAAATAAGGAAATATAGTAATTGTCTTTAACATCCAAGAATTTAAGTTGATACACACCTATTCTATAAAATTAACAAAATTTCAAGGTATAAACATAGGTGCATGTAGGGAACAGGAACTTAGAAAGTTAGAATAAAGATATGATTTTTTTTTTTCAATTTCAAAATAAAAAAGAAAAAAAAAGAAAAAAAAAGCCTAGCTCTGCCTAGAGCCCATCCGCTTTTTCCCACCGTTTTGCAATAAAACGCCTCGGCCACCCTCCGCCTAGCGCCTAGGCGGCCGTCTAGGCCGTTTTTTAGAACACTGATTCTCACACACCCAACAAAAGCCTGATTTAACGGAAGAAAAATCTCACAAGGATAGAAAAAACAAGTGCAGCTTTCCAATTCAAGATTATTATACATATTTATATTTATTTATTATTTACACTAAAACAGGGTGTACTGTTGACCATTCTCTTTTTCATCACTTTGTAATGATAACAACCACCACTATTACATCTCACAATACATAAAGATTTGATTGTTTATTTAAAGTATTTGTTGGCTTTTAAAAATAAGAGAACTAATGAAAAGGGTTTGAAAAGTTTTAGTTTTAATAAAAAACCATGTTATAAGTTTTGTTTAATGATTAGTACAAGACCCATATTAAAGTAGTCCAACGAAAAATAGTCCAACTATAATAAATTATGATTTGTCGATTTTATCCCTAACTTTTTTAAGTTGATTCCAGATTTTCGTCGTTAATGGAGTTCATCGTTGTTTTGCAAACCTTCTTCTTTTTCTTTGAAACAAAAATATAGATCATCATGTTATTTAATTTATATTTTGTATTATTTCGTTGAAATGTGATTGTCGTTATTATTCATAGTGTATTCGAGGTATCGTTTTTCAATTTTTCATCGCCAGTGGAGTTCATCGTTTGTTTCTCTAGAAAATAAATTTGAAATCTGCATGCTATTCAATAATAATGACGGGTCACTGTTTCTGGATTTTAAGTAACACTGTTTCTGGAATCTAAGTTACTGTTTATGGAATCTAAATCATTGTTTATGGAATCTAAATCATTGTTTCTTAAATGTAAGCTAGAAAAGAAATAGAGAAATTCACTATATTTGGATTCAAAGCAAAATAAACACCATATTTCTTAAATATAATCAATTGATGCATGAAAGAAAAGAAACAGTCAAAGATTAAAACATAGACTATTTCTGAAATTAAATCACTGTTTTTGAAATCTAAGTCATTATTTCTGGAATTTAAGTCACTGTTTCTGGAATCAAATCATTGTTTCTGGAATCTAAGTCACTGTTTCTAAAATTTAAGTCACTATTTCTAGAATTTAAGTCACTGTTTCTGGATTTTGGTTCTTTTCTTTCCAGATATAGTGTTTGTGCACAAACAAAACAAACACTATATCTGAGTTTTTTTTTTTGTTCAAAAACAGTGTTATGTTTTTTATTCTCCAGAAACAGTTTTATGTTTTGGTTTTTTTTTTTCCAAGACATTTTTTCGCCGGTTTTTGCTATTAAACTTCTTTGAACTTGTTTCAACTGCTTTGTTCCAATGAATGCTTCATTTTTTCAACTTTGATTTGAACTTTGATTTGGTTGTTTTTGAAATGAGGGAATTACTGGGCAATTGGCAGTTAGATGATGAAGATGATCCCCTGCAGCGGGGACATGATTCTGCTGCAAATGACAATGGCCAATCATTAAGAAAGAAGAAGAAAGCTTCATTTAAAGAGAAGTCAAGTAAGAAAGGAAAAGAAAATGGGGAGGTGGGGAAGAAGATCATATATGAAGAAAATGGCTCAAGGAGAGAGAAGAGCAGGCATGAGGAAAGTGGCTCAAGGAAAGACGAAGGGAAAAAGAAGATGAGGCGGAGACATTCCCAAGATAGTGCCAATAAGTAGGGTGTTTTGTCTACATGGAGAAAAAGTAGATGATAAAAAAAAAGACCAAATAATTTCTTTATTAGCCAACTTGTCTAGTCTCCCACCCATCCCCAGATGAATGAACACGTGTATATTCTACCTTTCCTTTCCTAGATGACCCACACGTGTACATCTAGATTATTCCCTTCTCAGAGAGACAAAAACCAAGCAGAAGACTAAAGAGCGAAAAGACCAAAGAAACAAAAAAGGGGTAAAAACGGAATCACATTGTACAATCAACAGTAACTAAAGAAATAACAGTTGTACAATCAATGTAATTTCATCAAATTCTAATCCATACGATCACTTGTGTACCTAAAAACTGATGACTCTTGACAACAGCACATAACAAATACTTGGAAAAACGAAGTTATGTGCTTAAAGGCTTCGTTTTAAAAGATGGAGAAGGGTAGAGGAGCTTTACCCAAGGAATTTTCGTGCCTCCGCTCAACCTTTTTACACACCCTAAAAAATACTTGAAATTCGATCCCCTACTACAACACACGCAAAAAAAATAGCAAACTAATAAACTTAATTATATATGATCATTTCACCACATAATTCAAATTAATTGGTGAAAAAATTAATTAATTAAACTGAGTTAAAAATTAAATATAAATACCAATAATAATTGTGATTGTCCATTTTTTGCTCCCTGGACTTTCCACTTGGAGTTAAAGATAGCACGAAACCACAAAAAAAAAAAAAACTTCAATTTCTGAGACCAGAGCACAAAACCAAGCAAACACCGCCAGCTGCAACAGAAACAACACGGTAAAATAGAGTTTTAGAGAGAAAAAACAAAGGACTTTAATTTTAGGAAGACTTTGGATGCGGTCCTTAGCTATGAATATTCTTTGTGACACACCCCGACCGAGATCAAGGTATGCTGGTCGTCACATGAGAGTGACGTAGATATGTGCACAGTGCGGAAGCAATTAAGGTAAGAAATATTCGAGTAAATAAAAACCAAAGTTACTAAAGTGCACTAATAAACTAGAGGTGTTAGAAGTGAGATACAAAAGTAAATACTCCTAAGCAGAGCATATAAAGTTTAGGTGCAGTCCAGTAGGACAAGTACTAATTATACAGTACCATAAGATGTCCTACAATTATTTTAATATGCTAGAATTGCCAAAGTCATCAAAGCCACCAACAGCAAGCTTACCTAAAACCTGGAGGGACGCAAAACAAAAAATGTGAGTGGGCAAAAACAAATGTTTTACAAAACCATTTCATTTCTCAATATTTCTAATCCCTTGCCATAAAACATGTATAATTTTCCCAGAATTAGAATATAAGCATATGCATATATATATATCAATTCAAATCATGCCTCATATAATCATATTCATAAGTATGCCATGCCAAAACGTAAAATGAAATAAGTAATTCAGGTGAGAATAATTTCATGGAAGGTATCATATTAGCCGGAACCCTTGCATAAGTCTGTACGGCTGAATTCATAGCTCATTA